TGGCCAGGTAAAGTCGCGGCTGTCCTACGCCCGGCCTCGCGGGCACCCGCCCCTGCCCCTGCCCCGGCCGCCTCTGATTGGCCCAGGGCGCCGTCGCGTTGGGAGACGAGCGCCTCACCTTCAGCAGGTGAGGGCCCCCTGATTGGGCAGCGTTCCTGAAGTAGGGACTTGGTGACTGGCTGTCTGAGCTGGAGCTGGAGGACTGAGGAAGTACCTCTAAGGAGGGGGCGGGAGGCCGTCGTGCAGTGAGGTTCCAGGAAACCAGCTTGGTTTGCGGCGTTTGTGTCTGTTAGTTTGAATGTGATTTGCTTGGTGCTGCAGAAACCTTGGTCCCGTCCCTTGGCGAGTGAAAAACATATTAACATGGATACCTTGACACCACCATCCACGGGCTGAGTGAGATGAGCTGCGCCCAGAGGAGGAAAGGAGAGGGGAGCGCCCAGCTGAGAGTGGGAAATACAGAATCAGTCTCTCCCCCCGACCCCCAGCCCGCGCCCTCCCCCTTTCTTTATCCATTTATTTATTTTTCGGAGAAGAAGTCCTCACTATGTTTCCCAGGATAATCTCCAATTCCTGGCCTCAAGCGATCCTCCTACCTCGGCCTCCCAAAGTGCTGGGATTACAGATGTGAGTAACCGCCCAGCCCCAATATCTCAAGAACTTGTACACAAAATACAACCAGATTATACAAACTGAGCTAGATGCTCCAGAAACATCCCTGAGTGACTGTGGATATGCCCCTTATGCATGTTTGATCTGCCAGCAGGGCTCTACATTTCCAATTATTTATCCTCTCACTGTGACTAATAGGTGCTGTCTAAGCCTCTGTTTTTCTGTGGACTATGTTGATACTCAAGCTTTCTGTTAATAGTTTTATTGTGGCTGGGCATGGTGGCTCAGCCTGTAATTCCAGCACTTTGGGAGGCCAAGGTGAGAGGACTGCCTAAGCCCTGGGGTTCGAGACCAGCCTGGGAAACTTGGTGACAATAAATCACACGCACACACAAAAAAAGCTAGGTGGGTGTGGTGGCATGGGTCTGCAGCTCCAGCTACTTGGAAGCCTGAGGTGGAAGGATTGCCTGAGCCCAGCAGGTCAAGGCTGCGGTGGCCATGAGCAGCGTGCCTCTCACTCCAGCCTGGGCAACAAGAATGAGACTTCAACTCAAAAAAAAGTTTATATTGTTATATCTTTTCTTTTCTTTTGAGTTGGAGTCTTACTCTGTATCCCAGGCTGAAGTATAGGCATGCCACCACACCAGGCTACTTTTTAAATTTATTGTAGAGATGAGGTCTCACCAAGTTGCCCAGGCTGGTCTCAAACCCGTGGGCTCAGGCAGTCCTCTCAATTTGGCCTCCCCAAAGTGCTGGGATTATAGGCACGAGCCACTGTGCCCTGCCATTACATCATTTTTAATTGAAACTTATGCTCAGCACCTTTACTACTTGTAATTTCTCTTCTGCAATGATTTAATTTTAACTGTACCAAGTTTATCCGGGTTGCTAGTGGAAAAAAACTTCCTGAACATTATCTGATTGCAAGTGAAAGACATTTTTTAATCCAAAAGAACAGCATTCTCTAACCTTTTGCCTCCTTCGCCTTCACTCTCATTCCCTTGTCTACATCTCTTTGGCCAAAGTCCACTTCTGGCTCCATCCACCGTAAAGCAATGTTTATCAAGTACCTACTGGGGCTATGGGAGAATGCAGACAAATATAAACCATAGTCTCTGACTTCAAGTGGTTTACAGTCTTCTTCCAAGACTAGTACAGGAAACAAGATACTATGTAACCCAAGAGAAACATCGTATTGCTGAATTGAAACAAGTATTTGGGTGCCTGTCAATTGCAAGACTGTTCTTTACCCTTAAAGAAGTTCAAGGTCTTGGGGAGGGAAATAGATACACAAAGTTAAGTTGAAGGGTAGAGGGAGGAGCCTGGCTTGGCCCATACCTGTAGTCCCAACTGCTTCTGTCGTCCCAGCTGCTCCCAGGCTGAGGCAAGAGTATTGCTTAAGCCCAGGGGTCCGAGGCTGCAGTAAGCTATGATTGCACCACTGCACTCCTTCCTGGGCAACAGAGCGAGACCTTGTGTTTTTTGTTTTTTTTGTTGTTGTTGTTTTAGTTAGGGTCTCACTATCACCCAGGCTGGAGTGCAGTGACACATTCACAGCCACCACAGCCTCGACCTGCTGGACTCAGGCGATCCTTCCACCTCAACCTTCCAAGTAGCTGGAACCACAGGCACGCACCACCATGCCCAGCTAATATTTTGATTTATTGTAGAGATGAGGTCTCACCAAGTTGCCCAGGCTGGTCTTGAACCCCTGGGCTCAAGCAATCCTCTTGCCTCTGCCTTCCAAAGTGTTGGGATTGCAGGTGTGAGCCACCACTCCCGGCTGACCCCATCTCTCAAAAAAAAAAAAGAATGCATTCACAAAAAGAATAGTAGCTATATTACACTATTGAGTTATATTCCATTTACAACAAAGCATAACTTATAAGCCTTTTCTTTTCTTTTTTGAGTTGGAGTCTCACTCCATCACCCAGGCTGGAGTACAGTGGCACACTCATTGCCACTCCAGCATCAACTTGCTGGGCTCTAGCAATCCTTCCTCCTCAGCCTTCCAAGTAGCCAGAACTAGAGGCATGTGCTATCACACCCAGCTAATTTTTTATTTATTGTAGAGACGAGGTCTGCCCGAGCTGGTCTCGAACCCATGGGCTCAGGCAATCCACTTATCTCGGCCTCTCAAAGTGCTGGGATTATGGGCTGAGCCACCGAGTCCAGTCACCTTTTATTTTTACTTGGACTACTCCCACATGCTATACTTGTGCAGTTCTTTCTTAACCAAAGTACATTTGCATTTATTCCTACTCAATTTGAATTATTTTGTTTTGAAAAAAATATTATTAATGGCCAAGTGTACATGAAATAATGTTAATAATATTAAATAAAACAAAGACATAGCTGGGCGTGGTAGCACGCGCCTATAATTCCAGCTACCTGGACAGTTGAGGCGGAATGATCCCCAGAGCCCAGCAGGTTGACGCTGCGGTGGCCGGGAGTGTGCTACTGCACTCCAGTCTGGGTGACAGAGTGAGACTACAACTCAAAAAACAAACAAAGACAAATAGTATGCACCTCAGTTATTACTATATAAAACATTTGTGTATATATTTACAAAGCATGAAGGTAATTTTAGTTCATGCAAATGATTTGATGTTCACCAAGTTCCTTTTCCCATAAAGTTGTTTAAATGTATAATAGTTTCTTAAAATTTTATTGTCATTGATATTTGTTTTCTTCAGTCAAAATAAATTTTTTTTTTGAGTTGGAGTCTCACTCTGGCACCCAGACTGGAGTGCAGTGGCCGCTCCCAGTCACCGCAGCCTCGACCTGCTGGGCTCCGGCGATCCTTCCGCCTCAGCCTTCCAAGTAGCTGGAACTACAGGCGTGTGCTACCACGCCCGGCTAATTATTGTAGAGATGAGGTCTCGCCAAGTTGCCCAGGCAGATCTCGAACCCGCGGGCTCAGGCAATTTACTCACCTCAGTCTCCCAAAGCATGGGATTACAGGCTAAACCACCGAGCCTGGCCGAAATTTTTTTTTTTTTTTTGAGTTGGAGTCTCACTCTATCGCCCAGACTGGAGTGCAGTGGCCGCTCCCAGCCACTGCAGCCTCAACCTGCTGGGGTCTGGCGATCCTTCCGCCTCAGCCTTCCAAGTAGCTGGAAATACAGGCGCGCGCTACCACACCCAGCTAATTTTTTTTTACTTATTGTAGAGATGAGGTCTCACCAAATTACCCAGGCAGGTCACGAACCCGCGGGCTCAGGCAATCCACTCACCTCGGCCTCCCAAAGTGCTGGGATTACAGGCTGAGTCAGTTTCCTTCTTCATCAGTGTTTAGACCCCAGTTACTGTCATAAACTGGTGCTCAGATTTCATCAATTCTAGTGATCACAAAGGGATTTACAGTCTTTTTGCATGTGTCTCCTGCTTATCAGGGGGTTCAGTGAAGATGGTTGTGTTCCCTTCAGTACCAGCAACAGTTACTAGATCCAAGGACAGTGAAGGGGGGACAAATAAAAATGTTCACTTTTAAATTCAAATGTGTCCAATATTTAGTGCCCACTTCCAAGTGAGAACATTTGGTAAGCAGTCTTTTGTTTGTGCGCTTTGCTCATTTTCTTTTTCTTTTCTTTTCTTTTTTTTTTTTTTAGAGATGAGGTCTCACCAAGTTGCCCAGGGTGGTCTCCAACCCGTGGACTCAGGCAATCCTCTCACCTCTGCCTCCCAAAGCTTTGCTCATTTTCTATTGGGATAGTTGTCTTTTTCTAATTCATTTGTAAGTGCTCTTTATATATTCAAGGAATTAGCCCCTCATGAATGCTGTGACTTAAAATTATCCTAAGTTTTCCATTTGTCTTTTGACTTGACTTGTGTGCATGTGTGTGTGTGTTTGCCACGCAGAAGCCTTTGGCTTGTTTGTTTTGTTCTCTAATTTATCAGCCTTTTCTTTTATGGCTTCTAAATTTTGAGTCAGAGTTAGAAATGTCTCTGCCACTTAAAAGTAATGAAATAATTTTTCTTGACAGTTTCCATTTTTACTTTCATTATTTTATTTTATTTTTTTTAGTTGGAGTCTCACTCTGTCACCCAAGCTGGAGTGCAGTGGAACGCTCATGGCCACCACAGCCTCGACCTGCTGGACTCAGATGATTCTTCCATCACAGGCTGGTCTCGAACCCAAGTAGCTGGAACTACAGGCACGTGCCACCACCACGCCCAGTTAATTTTTTAATTTATTGTAGAGATGAGATCTTGCCAAGTTGCCCAGGCTGGTCTTGAACTCGTGGGCTCAGGCAATCCTCTCACCTTAGCCTCCCAAAGTGCTGGGATTATAGGCATGAGCTACCATGCCCTGTTTCTATTCTTATTTTAAACTAAACTGATATATTTATGGAGTCTTTCTATCCATGAACCTTTTAAGTATTTTTCATTTGCACAAGTCTTTTTTTTATTTTTTTGAGTCGAAGTCTTAATCTGTCACCCATGCTGGAGTGGTATATTCATGGCCACCCCAGCCTTGACCTGCTGGGTTCAGGCGATCCTTCCACATCAGCCTTCCGGGTAGATGGAACCGCAGGTGCAGACCACCATGCCCAGCTAACTATTTGCTTTATTTTGTTTTGTTTTGTTTTGTTTTTTGAGTTGGAGTCTCACTCTATCGCCCAGACTGGAGTGCAGTGACCACTTCCGGCCACCGCAGCCTCGACCTGCTGGGTTCCGGCGATCCTTCCGCCTCAGCCTTCCAAGTAGCCGGAATTACAGGCATGCGCTACCACGCCCGGCTGATTTTTTGATTTATTGTAGAGATGAGGTCTCACTGCCCAGGCGGGTCTCGAACCCGCGGGCTTAGGCAATCCACTCAACTCAGCCTCCCAAAGGCACGGGATTACAGGCTGAGCCACCGAGCCCTGCACTTTTTGCTTTATTATAGACATGATGTCTTGCCAAGTTGCTCAGGCTGGTCTCGAACCCTTGGGCTCAGGCAATACTCTCACCTGTCTCCCAAAGTGCTAGGATTACAGGCGTGAGACAAGACACCCGGCTGACAAGTCTTCTGTAAGGATCTTTTCAGTCTGTTTTAACATTTTCCCCTTTAGGTCTTGAATTTTTCTGATAGGTGTATTCCTAGTCATGCAAAGGATTGATGATAATTATGAATGATACATAGATTTTTTCTCTTTTTTTTTGAGTTGGAGTCTCACTCTGTCACTCAGGCTGGAGTGCCATGGCACAATTATAGCCAGTGCAGCTTTGACCTACTGGGCTCAGGCGATTCTTCCACCTTAGCCTTCCAAGTAGCTAGAACTACAGGCATGCACCACCACACCTGGCTAACTTTTTATTTATTGTAGACAGGAGGTCTCACCAAGTTGCTTGGGCTGGTCTTGAACCCCTGGGCTCCAGCAATCCTCTCACCTCAGCCTCCTTAAGTGCTGGGGTTATAGGCGTGAGCCACCACACCCAGCCTCATGCATAGAATTTAACTAAATTAGAAGGAAATATGCATGTAAGGACAGTAATAAATATAAAAATTTGATAAGATCAATTATCTGGAGGACTTGATAGGTTGAGGAATATGTTTAGGAATAAAAATACAGTAGAAGCCAGGCTCGGTGGCTCAGCCTGTGATCCCACGCCTTTGAGAGGCTGAGGTGAGTGGACTGCCTGAGCCCACGGGTTCGAGACCCGCCTGGGCAACTTGGCGAGACCTCATCTCTACAATAAATCAAAAAATTAGCCAGGCGTGGTAGCGCATGCCTGTAGTTCCAGCTACCTGGAAGGCTGAGGCGGAAGGATCGCCGGAGCCCAGCGGGTCGAGGCTGCGGGGGCTGGGAGTGGCTACTGCACTCCAGTCTGGGCGACAGAGTAAGACTCCAAATCAAAAAAAAAAAAAAAAATACAGTAGAATGGTGAGCTGGAAGACTTTTTCATTGGAAAATACCATCAGGTCTAGTTTCTGAGGAGTTTCCGTTTTCTTGACTCATATTCTCTTTAAAGTCTCTGGCCTTGCTGGGTGAGTAGCTCAAAGCCTGTAATCCCAGCACTTTGGGAGGCTGAGACAGGAGGATTGCTTGCATCCAA